GCTTATCTTAACTATCTTGTAATGCCTTTGATTCTTGACCTTCTATTAGGAAAACCAGTGACATACTTTCTTACTTGTGTTAAATAAGGTGAATAATACCTTGTGAGCGCTATGGTTTTTTGTAATGTTTGATCAGTAATAACAGTTATCTCTTTGAAAATGTGACATTTTTGTTGTTTTTCTTAGCTAAAGTGTCAATTTCAGAATAAGGTACATGTATGATTATTAATAAATTATATTTGTAAGAAAACTTCATAAATTTATGTCATAGGGAAGAAAATAGAGGGCAGTTGCTTCATTGCTTTAAAATATTTTAATTCTTTAGACAGATTCCAACAAAAGCTGTTTTCCTCATTTCAGGCCTTTGAAGACCTCAGCAAGCTAATGATCAAGGTATATGTCATTCTATACCTCTGAAATTCAAAACCAGTTATAACACCATTTTGAAAATACATATTTTATTAGAAGATATTTTGGGGACATTATTTCTTTTCAGTCTTCTCTTTTGACAGGCTAAAGAAATGGTGGAATTATCGAAATCAATTGCTAATAAAATTAAAGAAAAGCAAGGTGACATTACAGAAGATGAGGTAAAGATGCTAAGATGCTTTTAGTGTGTGACACTGGGGATTGAACTCAGGGACTTGTGCGTGCAAGGCAACCACTCTACCACTGAGCCTCATCCCCAGCCCCAAGATGCTTTTTAAAAACGCATTAGAAAGAAGATTACAACAACATCAGTAACAGTGACATTTTTGTGACTTACCAGTTTAAACCTAGGGCCTTTGCACTAAGCCTTTGCAACCCCTTCTTTTATTTTTTATTTTTTTTATTGTATTTATTTATTTATGTATTTTTTGGTCTTTTTTGAGACAGGGTCTCGCTATGCAGTTTAGGCTGGCCTTCAGCTCACTTCATAGCCCAGGCTGGTCTCGAACTCACAATGATCCTCCTGCCTCAGCCTCCTGAGTGCTGGGAGTACAGGTGTGGGCCACCACGCCTGGCTATTATTTTTTATTTTGAGACAGGATCTTGCAAGGATTCTGGGCTGGGCTCAGACTTGCAGTCCTCCTGCCTTAGTCTCCTGCAGTGCTGGGATTATAGGTGTTTGCTTGCCTGTAGTGTCTGTTTTATACATATCCCTAAACTTGATGTCTCTTCATGAAGTTTGTGTACATGATG